ATTCTTTGGCTTAGTGTTGACGAAGGGATTTTTTTCTTTTTTTTTTTTTTGGTCTTTTTGAGACATGATCTCTCTGTAGCCCCAACTGGCTGGAACTCATCATGCAGACCAAGCTAGCCTTGAACTCACAGAGATCTGCCTGCCTCTGCCTCAGGAGTGCTGGGATTAAAGGTGTGTGCCACCACACCTGCCTGGCTTGATGAAGGAATTTTTTTTAAATATATATACACTTTAAAAATTTTATTTTATGCATATGTGTGTATTGCCTGCACATAGGTAAGTGCATCTGTGTTGTGCAATGCCTGCGGAGGTCAGAAGAGGCTGTTGGAGCCCCTGGGACTGGAGTTACATACAGACAGTTGTTAGCTGCCGTGTGGGTGCTGGGATTCGTATCTGGGTCTTCTGCAAGAACAACAAGTGTTCTTAACCGCGGGGCCATCTCTCCAGCCCCAGTGAAGGAATTTTAAGACTTGGGAAATTGGAATGCTCACGTGCGTCAATTGTTTTGTTTAAAACCTGATTCTTGGCCAGGTGTGGTGGCTCACGCCTTTAATCCCAGCACTTGGGAGGCAGAGGCAGGCAGATCTTTGTGATTTTGAGGCCAGCCTGGTCTACATAGTGAGTTCCAGGACAGCTGGGGCTACAAGGAGACCCTGTCTCAAAAAGACAAAAAAAAAAAAAAAAAAAAAACAAACCAAAAACAAAACCTGATTCTTGCTCAGTCGTGGTGACACACAACACTCAGAAGCTGAGGCAGGCACATCTCTGTGAGCTCCAGGCCAGCTAGCCTGGTCTACATAGCCAGGCTAGCCAGAGCTATATAGTAAGACCCCATCCAAATAAAGAAATAAATGAATGAAAAAGAAAGAGGAAAGAAAACAAATATATGCTTAATAGATGTGTATATGTGCATGAACATGTTAACAAAACAGGGCAGGAACACCATGATTGATTAGCACCAAAGATCTGTCTGAATCACGCATTGTTTCGTATGTACTGTCCATTAGGCTGGTCTTGCCTTTGGTGGTTCAACACTGCCACCTGTGGGGTCCAGTTAAACCCATTGCATTGGCTTCATCCAACTGTGAGCATCACAAGGAACAGAGGGACGACAGACCTCTTCCCACGTGCTGGGGCCCCTCTCACCAGTTTGCATCTTTCAACATTAGTGAAAGGCATGTCTTCTGGGCCCTCCCATAGGGAAGGCTTAAGGTTTGTTTTTTTTTCAATGTTTTGAGACAGGCTATTACTGTGTAGCACTGGCTGACCTGGAACTGGCTATGTAGGCCAGGCTGGCCTGGAACTCAGGGATCCACCTGCCTCTGCCTCCCAGGAGCTGGCATTAAAGGTGTGTGCCATCACACCCGGCTCTTACCTCTCTTTATCATGCAGTGTAAGATCAACAGATATTATCAGTGGTGAAATGCTGTAATCTATATTATCATGTTTAAGTTGTGTGACACTAAAAGGCCAAGCATTTCTCCATGGACCCCCCCCAACACCTATTCTAAAATATATAATGTGTTTTTGGCTATATGTGGAATAGTTATATCATGTTAGGAAATTAAGCATGACATAGGGAGATGCAATTGGGTGTCAAGGGTGGATTTGTGCTCATCTTTGTTGTCAACTTGACTGGATCTGGAATCACCTAAAATGGGAGGGCGTCCTTGGTCAGATTATTTGGGGCAGGGAGATCCACCCTAAACATGGGCGGCATCTTCTAGGCAGCCCATATAAAAGGATCCGGCAGCACGGAGCGTGCCCTTCGCTCTGAGTTCATTGGTCCTGAGACTGTGACTTTCTGTACCCCGGCTCAGGACCAACTTTTTCAGTTTTCCAACTTAGACTGAAGGCCACCAACATCTTCCAGATCTTCAGTGCCAGACTGGAACTGCTGAGACAGCCGACCCTGCGGACTGAGCAACTACTAGATTCTCAGCCATGGCAGTCATTACTCGACTCCGAGGACCATATTATGTAAGCCAATCTAATAACCCTCTCTCTATTCCAATCTAATAACCCTCTCATTTATTCCAGCAGTTCTGTTTCTTTAGAGATACCTGCCACGTGGGAGACCTTAGGTAGCCCCCCACACAGACAGGGACCCAAAGGCCACCCCTACCCAGGCCCTGTCAGATCTATGTACAGTCTTCTCTGCCCCTAGTTTCTCCCAGGAGCTCTGGATGCAGTGGGCAGTCTGGGACTGACCTCACTCTCCTGAAAGTGGGACTGTGTGGCAGGGTGGGCAGTCGGGTGCCCTTTTGGCTGCTGAAGAACCAGCAGGATGCTGGGCATGGTGGGGGATGCCTTTAATCCTAGCACTCAAGAGGCAAAGGCAGGCGGATCTGAGTTTGAGGACAGCCTGCTCTACATAGAGTTCCAGGCTAGCCAGTGCTGTATAGTGAGACCAGTCTCAAGAAACAAAAACAAAGCTGGGCGCGGTGGCACACACCTTTAATCCCAGCACTCAGGAGGCAGAGGCAGGTGGATCTCTGTGAGTTCAAGGCCAGCCTGGTCTACACAGTGAGTTCCAGGAGAGCTGGAGCTACACGGAGACCCTGTCTCAAAAAGACAAAAAAATAAACAAATAAAACAAATAAAAAAGGCCCAGGGACCTGTGACCAGTCTGTTGTGATGTTAGACTCTGAATCTAGCTCTGAAGTCTGCAGCTTCATCAGTACCTGAGGCTTTGAGACTTCCAGCGAGTATTGATTTCCCTGGGAACCCAAGGATGTCATGTGGCTGGCTACACATAGGTGGAAAGGCCCAAGTGGGTAGGGTGTTCACCGAAGAGCCTGGGGAGGCTTCCCTCCTGCACAGCTGCCTTCCTACCCTGATCTACTCTGTGGCTCCCATAACCCCTTACCGCCTAAACTGACATCAGCCTGTGCCCTCTGATGCCAGGGTATGCCCTGTCCTTCCCGCTTCACTGTGAGAGTGCCAGACTGCCTCCCACTCTCCAGCTTCCCTGCCTCCAACCCCTAACAATCCAGATCCCTGCAATCCCTCTGCAGGCCTGCTTCCCAGGATTCAGTCAGGCATGGGCTTCCCACTACCGTCTGGCTCCTCGTGACATGGCTCGGCTGACCCTACTGCACTTGACCACCATCCTGAGCACGCTGCTCAGCTTTGTGCTGCTGACTGCCGCGCTGGTCAGTGACTACTGGTACGTCTGGGAAGTTGGGGACAGTGGCGATCACATCGACAACCATGGAGACACGGAGCCGCTATCCTTCCACGTGGGGCTCTGGCGTATCTGTCAAGGTGAGCTGCACCACTAACTGGGGACCCCTGTCCCCTCCCTAGTACCCCTTCCTAGTCTTGCTCCCGCATCCCTAAAGATCCCTTCTGGGTCTGCCCCTCAAGGGTTCCCTGTCATGGACCCCCTCAAACTGTTGGGGCAATAACTGGGCTGTGGAGAGGTCCTGCTTAGGGACAGACCACGGCCATGGGGCTGTGGGGAGGGCAGTAGATGGGGCTGGCACTGTGCCTTCCTCCACTTGTCTGGGTGAAATTGGGGGTGGCTCAGATTGTGGAAGACAGCAGGTCAGGTGGACCATGGCCTGCTCTTTGCCACTGGGTAACTTGAGACTTCATCCCCTGGGTCTGGGTGTCTTCTGGGAGGTCTGAGGAACAGGGGAAGGCTGCCTGCCCAGCTCCCAGGGCTCTGTCAGCGGCTTACTGATGCTCGGCTGGCTGCACCCTTCTAGGAGGACCTGTGGGGCTCAGGAAAGGGAAGGAAGCCAGGTGTGGGTTGCAGGGCCTCAGGGAAAACCACAGACTTTCATCCAAGGGACCAGGAATTGTTTCCTCCTGTGCCCCCGCCATCTGCTGCCCCTCAGGTCCCTCCTCACTGGACTGGGCCAGCCCAAGGGTTTCCTTTCCATGGGGTGTCTATGAGCATCTGAATGCATATGAGGATGAGAGTGGATGTGAGTTGTATGTGAATGTGTGTGGACACATGTGAGTATGTGAGGGAACATGAATCGGATGATTGAGAGGTACCTAAATGTGTATGATTGTGTGTATGTGGTCTCCTGTTGCAGGGATCTGGCCTGGACATTCCTGAGAGTGAGGTTTTTTTTTTTTTTTGGTCTTTTTTGAGACAGGGTCTCCCTGTGGCCCCAGCTGGCCTGTAACTCACTATGTAGACCAGGCTGGCCTCGAACTCACAAAGATCTGCCTGCCTCTGCCTCCCAAGTGCTGGCATTAAAGGTGTGTGCCACCACACCTGGCATGAGAGTGAGATTTTAAACTCACACTTCCAAAGACATGAGCAGTCTGTGACCCAAGAAGTCTTGGGTCTCTAATCCCATTTGGAACCATGATCCCGAGTTCTAAAGTAGAGAGTTGGACAGAGTATTAGACTGGCCATGTCCATGTGGCTCTGGGAATGATACACACTCTTGATGTCCAGCCCTCATTTTACCTTGCCTTTCCAGGACAGGACAACTGTATGACCCTGACTGACTCATTTGCAAGCGCTGGACTGGATGTCTCACCTTCTGTGAAATATCTGCTCTGTGAGTACTGGGAAGACCTGGGACCCCCAACCACCCTGCCCCAGCCCCCTCTCTGCAGGACACCAAACTGTTTCTGAGGCCCCACAGCCCCAGAGGAAGTTCCCATCCATAGCCCCCCTGTCCGTTGTCCTGACCACAGGAGCTGGAATCCCAGCCTGCCCTGCCCTCCTCATCCCTCAGTTTCCTTTTCAATAAAGGACCTTGCCTTTGGGGAAGTGAGCCAGCTCAGAGCATGACTGGACCTCCTGGGGCCCACAGCTCCCCCTTTTGGACTGTTTCAGCTTTCCATCCAGTTGGAGGGTCATAGGTACCTACTACCCCAGAGAGGCCTGAGGGTGAGCATGGGGAGACATGGGCAGAGCCTCAGGAATCCTGTGCCAGGAGGAAACCTCTGGGAGGGTCCAGTGGTCACTATGGAGATGGACTTCTGCCTGACACCCCGCGCCCCGGCTCCTGGCCTCCCTGTTCCCACAGCCCTTCACCGTGCAGTCCTGGTGATTCTGCCCCTGAGCCTCATCTTCATCATGTGTGGCTGGATCTGTGGCCTGCTGGGCTTCCTGGCTCAGAGCATCCCTGTGCTCACCTTCACTGGCTGCTACTACTTGCTGGGAGGTAAGTCCAAGATCCCAGGACTCCAGAGGAAGCTGGCCCTGGGGTCCCCTTCGGTGCCCCTTGGTACAGTCTGCTGTGCCACCTAGTTGCCTCCAGTCGCCCTTGGCCGGCTTTCACCAAAGGTGGGCTGGTGGCCCTGGGGGTCAGTCCTCAGTCCTCCTTGTTTGGAGGCTGTGCTGTGTTTGCTGTCTCAGGTCAGTTCTATGTTATTGCTGTGACCACAATTAACATCACCCAGGGTTGGACACTCCCTCCGCCCCCCAGACCAGCCTGTTTCCTTACAAGGGATGCTGGACTGACTCTTCAGGAACCTTTGTTAGTGCCAGGGAGGAGGGCTAAAATGGGGAACCATTGGTCACAGGCCAATAAGACATACATGCAGGTCCAGACCTCCAGAAATCAGGAGTAATGAAAATGTCAGCTATGGCCTTGACCCAGGAGACTGAGTGCCCCAAATCCAATCAAGAACTCATGGGAAGCCAACAAGAGCTTTTGCTGTGGGAAGTTAGAAATTCATCCCACAACTTTCACCACTGCCGCTGCCCAAGGGCCAGGGTGAATGAAGGCCACGCAGTGTGGGCCACATCCCATACAGGCAGGACTAGCAAGTTTGCAAAGGATTCTGTAGGGTGAGGTCCCAGGTTGGGGAACTGTATTGGAACCCCCTAATGCTCCATTCCACAAACCTTGGAGTTGACACCACTTAGCGCCTGTCCTCTGAACAAGGTGGTGCTTGGGAGGGGAGAGGAGACAGTCCTGTTAATTCTGCCATTGTTTCTCCTCTGTCCCCAGGTGCCCTGACCTTGGCAGGTGTCAGCGTCTACATCCATTACTCCCACCAGGCCTTTGAGGAGACCACGCTCCTGTACGGTACCCAGCACGTGCAGGATGTGCACGTCAGCTTCGGCTGGTCTCTGGTCCTGGCCTGGAGCTCCTGCGTCTTTGAAGCAGTCAGTGGTGCCCTCCTGTTCATAGCTGCCCGACGCCTCAGTGTGAGGCAGCCCCCAGGAGCACCCCACTCTGTGATCATCTAAGGGTGTCAGGGTGGTGGGGAGAAGGCTTGGCTGCCCTTGACATTTGCTGAGTCCTGGATGGATGGTGCCCTGGGGACAGCATGTTGGAGAAGCTCTCCTCTGGACTCACTCAGACATCATGAAGGACTCAGACAGGTTCTTGGTGGCACAGCTGGGTGTTGGGGGATACTCTTGACTCCAGGGTATGGCCTGTACTCCCACCTCCCTCATCAGTCCTGTGTGAGACTGGATCTGCCTCTATCCCTAGGATACTATGCCCCGCTCTGGTCCGAGTGCTGCTCCTCCTCTCTGTCCCCCTGTCCCCAGCCCAAGCAGCAGTTAGAGTCTCCTTGTGCTGCAGAAGGGGAGACTGAGGCAGAGCACCCAGGACGGGATGGCAGGACCCCTGGGCTCTGCTCTGTCTGTCCCTGGAGGAAGGACTGGTGGGGTGGAGTATGGGGGCAGTGCAGGAAGGTCACAGCCTAGCGGGCTGGACACACGACACCCCTCCCTTGTTTTCGGTCTTCTGATACCAGGAGCTCTTGGGCCTCGGGGAGGAACTGGAGCTGAGGGAGGCTCTCCTCCAATTGCATTCGATTTGAGTGTCTGAATAAATCAATCTGTGCTGTGTGTAGTTACTTTTATTCTGCTGTTTGTTTTCAGGAGAGGGGGACAGGGTCTCACTATGGTCTTGAACTCTCTACCTCTTGCCTCAGCCTTAGTGCTGAGATTTCAGACACATATTACCACAGCCAGCTTAGACGTTCTTCCAACACTACAAAGGAGCAAACACAGTGTACTTTTGTCCATCCCATGATGCCATGTGTGTTCATGTGCCCTGTGCATCACAGATTCCTGTTTCAGCATGTGTGATCATTGATCATGTCCAGTCAGGGTGGGGAGAACTGATGTCCTCCGCAGACAGCTTGCTTCCCAGGTCCACAGAGGAGTCCTGGCTTTCCAGGGGGATCTGGGCTGCCTTATTAAGGAGACCCTCTGAGCTGGGGGAAGCTCTCTCTCTCTTCAGCCTCAGCCCCAAGCAATACACATACACATAGGACTTAGCAAAGCCAGTCTGATGGGCCAGTCTCAGTAACTGGATCAAAGGTTTTGTCTTGTTTCCTGGTTCAGTGGGTGGCCTGGCTGTGGGTCCAGGTGTAAAGGTCCAGGGAGGAGACAGCAGCTCAGAACAGACAAGGGCTCCAGGAGACGAAAAGGGTGAGGCCACATCCATATCCCTGTGACGGTCAGTCCCCATAGGCAGGGAACCCACCTGTCCACCTGAGTGGGCCTCAGTTCCCACAGCAATATGTGGGCCCAGCTGAGGAGCCCCATGGCCAGCTCAGCACTGCCTCCTTGAACTCCTGCATCTCCAGGTACCATGCTGTTCCTCCCTCACGTTCCTCTGCACCTTGCTTAAGGCTCCCTCTGTCTACCCTCTGATGCTGCTAGTGCCTCACCAGAGCCCGAACGATGGGGACGGGCCTCTCCTGAAAGCAGATCCCCCTCCAGCCAGCACCCACAGATGTTAGGAGCCTGCACGATGGGACGGGGCCTCTCCTGAAAGCAGATCCCCCTCCAGCCAGCACCCACAGATGTTAGGAGCCTGCACGATGGGACGGGGCCTCTCCTGAAAGCAGATCCCCCTCCAGCCAGCACCCACAGATGTTAGGAGCCTGCACGATGGGACGGGGCCTCTCCTGAAAGCAGATCCCCCTCCAGCCAGCACCCACAGATGTTAGGAGCCTGCACGATGGGACGGGGCCTCTCCTGAAAGCAGATCCCCCTCCAGCCAGCACCCACAGATGTTAGGAGCCTGCACGATGGGACGGGGCCTCTCCTGAAAGCAGATCCCCCTCCAGCCAGCACCCACAGATGTTAGGAGCCTGCACGATGGGACGGGGCCTCTCCTGAAAGCAGATCCCCCTCCAGCCAGCACCCACAGATGTTAGGAGCCTGCACGATGGGACGGGGCCTCTCCTGAAAGCAGATCCCCCTCCAGCCAGCACCCACAGATGTTAGGAGCCTGCACGATGGGACGGGGCCTCTCCTGAAAGCAGATCCCCCTCCAGCCAGCACCCACAGATGTTAGGAGCCTGCACGATGGGACGGGGCCTCTCCTGAAAGCAGATCCCCCTCCAGCCAGCACCCACAGATGTTAGGAGCCTGCACGATGGGACGGGGCCTCTCCTGAAAGCAGATCCCACTCCAGCCAGCACCCACAGATGTTAGGAGCCTGAACGATGGGGACGGGGCCTCTCCTGAAAGCAGATCCCACTCCAGCCACCACCCACAGATGTTAGGAGCCTGAACGATGGGACGGGGCCTCTCCTGAAAGCAGATCCCACTCCAGCCAGCACCCACAGATGTTAGGAGCCTGAACGATGGGGACGGGGCCTCTCCTGAAAGCAGATCCCACTCCAGCCAGCACCCACAGATGTTAGGAGCGGCCTCAAGATGGCTGGGGGATGCTGAGGCCCTGGGCCTCCCTTCTTGGGACACTGGCCTGGGTGTCACATAGGAAATGACAGTGCCTTGCTATGTCTGCCTCAGTCTCAGCTGATGGCACTGGGGGAGCCGGCTGCCCTGTGAAGATGCCTGTGTAGCTCTGCAAAGGGGCTTGTCCACTCGAGACAGGTGTGAGGCCAGAGGTGCAGGCAAGTCACCATGGACGCTCACAACGGTGTACTCCGTGCACCTCAGGGCATCCCACACAAAGGCAGCACAAGGGACGGAGGGCAGCTCACAGGTGCTGGTGCCATGCTCTGCCACCTCAAGCACAGGAGAGAAGCTCTGGGCCCTGGGGAGCCCCGAATACTAGGCCTCCAAAGAGAGAGCTGGATCCTTCTAAGGGGTGGAGGAAGAGAGAGACTTTGAAATTGAATTATTAAAAGGTATATAGCTCCTTTCTTCACACACACAGATTCACATATGTATCCAGAATGAAATACCCATAAATACTGATGGTGGGGATCCTTGGATGAGAACTATACAGGGAGTTGGCTTTTAGAGACAGGATTTCATATAGTCAAGGCTGGCCTTGAACTCTTGATCTTCCTGCCTCTACCTCCCAAATACTGGGATTGCAGGTGTGTTCCCCCATGCCTGGCTTGTGCAGTAAAGCATGACATTTTAACCTTTTCTAACTTGGTTTTCTCATACCTAAAATGGGAATAATCTAATTCTCTTTCTTTTTTTGAGACAGAGTCTCCCTTTTCACAAAGATCTGCCTGCCTCTGCTTCCCAAGTGCTTGGATTAAAGGCGTGAGCCACCACACTCAGCATATTAAAGGTATTTTAATATTGTCTTAATCCTGAGGGTTAGAAGAAAACTGTGTTCAGAAGGCTGTCGGACACACCCAAGTGTGGGTGCTGGTTCTTTGAGGCGGAGTGGGCTCTATTCTCTTTACTTGGACCTTCTCTCCTTCTTGATCTGTCCACCAGGGGGTCGTGCATTTGATTCCACCGCACACATCTCTGGTCTGCTTATCGAAACGCTTTCTCTGGCTCCTCTTCCTCAGGTCTCTCTTTAGCTCTGTCTCCTCTCCGTGAGCTGTCTGCTGTTCTGAGTTCCGAATTTATTACACTTTTTTCCTCTGGCATTCTTACCTCATGGTCTTTAGTTTCAGGGTCTCTGTCAAACTTTCTTTCCTAAACTCATATTCTTTTACTTTCCTTTCATTTTTATTTTTATGTTATGTGCATGAATGTTTTGCCTGCATGTATGTAAGTGCACTCATGTGTGCCGTGCCTGTGGAAGTCAGAAGCAGCAGATTCCCTGGAACTGAAGTTACAGATGGTTGTTAGCCACCATATGGGTACTGGGAAGTGAACCTGGGTCTTCTGCAAGAGCAGCCAGTGCTCCTAACCACTGAGTCATCTCTCCAGCACCATCTTCTTCTTTTTTTAAAAGATTTATTTTAGCTGGGCGTGGTGGCACACGCCTTTAATCCCAGCACTCAGGAGGTAGAGGCAGGCAGATCTCTGTGAGTTCAAGGCCAGCCTGGTCTACATAGTGAGTTCCAGGAAGATTTTATTTTTTAAATATTTTATTTATTGTTTTTGTGTATATGTGTATATTGCTTGTATGTAGGTAAGTGCATCCATGTTGTACAGTGCCCGTGGAGGACAGAAGAGGCTGTCAGATCCCCTGGAACTGGAGTTATGGACAGTTGTTAACCGCCATGTGGGTGCTGGGATTCAAACCCAAGTCTTCTGAAAGAACAGTGTTTTTAACTGCTGAGCCATCTCTCCAGCCCCAGATTTATTTTGTTTTTTATTATGTGTATGTGTGTATATATATGTATATGCATGTTAAAGTGTCCAGAAGAGGGCATTAGATGCCCAGGAGCTGGAGTTACATGTGGTTGTGACCACACTGATGTGGGTGATGGGAATCAAATTCTGGCCCTTTGGAAGGACAAGTGCTCCTAACTAGGACCTGTCTCTCAATCCTTTCTAAAAAAATGTATCTACTTGTTGCATGTGTGTGCATATGTGTGGGGGTCAGAGGACAATGTGTGGGAATGTGTTCTCTCCTTCCACCATGTGGGTTCTGGGGAGGGAACTCACGTGACTCAGGTTGTCAGTCTTGGTGGCAAGTGCCTTTATCGACTCCGAGTCATCTTGGTGGGCTCCTCTGTCAAATTTTTGATCTTTCCTTATAACTCTTGTTAGGATTTGAATATGCAATGCCCCCCACAGGCTCCTGTTTGAACACATGGTCCCCAGCTGGTGGTGGTGTTTTGAGAGGTCTAAGTTTTGAGGCAGGTGGCCCGGCTGGCAGAAGAGGCAAGGCTAGGGGCTTCACCTGGGCCTGACCTGAGTACTCTGCTTCCTGGTTGGTGACAAGGACCAAGCAGCTCCTGTAGGCTTCCACCACCAGAGAGTCATCCATTGCCATGGATGCTTTCTCCTTGATCGACTGTATCCCCTAAAACCACGAGCCAAAATAAACCTCCTTAAATTGCTTCTGTTAGGTATTTAGTTGCAATGATGTAAAAGTAACTAGTACAATTCCTTCAATACTTTATTTTAAGGATCATCTCTAATAACTCCATTATCTTAATCACCTAAAAATCTGTTCATTTTGAGACAAGGTCTCATGTAATCCAGGCTGGCCTCAAACTCACTATATAGCTGAAGATGACCTTGGATGTCTAATCCTCCTGTCTCTACCTCATGAGTGCTAGGATTATAGCTGTATAGCAACACACTGGGTTTACATGGTGCTGAGGATCAAACCCAGGCTTCATGCATGGAAGCAAGTGTGCTATATCTCCCTCCAGCCCCAGAGTCATTTTTGTCAGTTTTTGTCTGGATTTTCAATCACATCTTCTCCCACCCCATGCCTGGTTATTCCTAACGGAATGAGAGGTGCTGGAGGAAACCAGAGGCTGGGCAATGTTGTCATTCCCCAGGGAGGACTGGCTGACACCAGGTCAGGACTTGAAGCCCCTCACTCACCACTCTGATTCTAGCTCGGGCACAGGGACCCTGGTCCTCTGTCCTCAGGGCCCCAATCGTCTCAGCACAAACTCCCACTTCCTCAGTGCCAGTTCAGTGTCCACTGCAGAGACATCACGGTGCCACACAGCACGTATGGATCGTTCTGTCCAGGGGAACAGCAGCACACGCACAGCGTGGCCAGTCTGGGCCACCTCGTCATCACTCACAGCCTGCAGGCGTTGACACAGCTCCTCTGGAGGCAGCCCATCCACCTGCACCAGCACCATGTTGGTCTCCACGGTGGCAGGATCCACAGAGCAAATGGGAGAAGCCAGGTCCTGGAGTCCTAAGCCAGACACTGTGGTGAGACGTGCCTGAGCCCAGGACTCCACCTTGGAGCTACTGCCCAGGGAAGGCTGAGGGGCAGCCCAGTTCTCTAGGGAGAGTAACCTGAATCCTGAGGTAGACTTTGGGGCACAATTTCTGCTATTTTCTCTGTGTGACCTTAAACATATCAGTTGACTTCTCTGGGCCTCAGTGATGTGTGGGCATCATGGGATTGTTAAGAAAACAGAAAGTATAGATAAAGACCCAAGCCAGAGGCTCTACTCTGACAAGGTTCCTGACTCTGCTGGGCACATCCTGGTGTCAGATGCCCTGTGACATAGGGCCTGGGGAGGCAAGAAAACACAGGATGCACCAGGACACTCAACATCCTAGAGTTTTGCAATGCAGACCTGCTGGGGACCTGGCCCTGCTTGGAGGGAGCAGAGGAGAGAGAGGATGGGGGCCAGCACCTTTGGCGAATCTCTGGGCATTCCCATGGTCCCTCAGCAGCACCTTCTCCGCCTCAGTCAGTCCTACCAGGGCAGCTGCAGCCAGTATCCCAGCCTGGCGCATGCCTCCACCCAGGGCCTTCCGGAGGCGCCAGGCATCTTCAATGAAGTCCTTGGAGCCCCCAACCAGGGCCCCTGCTGGTGCACCCAGGCCCTAAGGAGAGAAGAGAGAACCTTGGTGTCCATGATGCACAGCCTGTCCTCAGGCTGGAGTGGGGTGGGTGCGGTGCTAGAGTCCCTGTAGTCCAGAGCTAGCAAGCGTGCCCCATCTGCACTGGTTCTGGAAGGCCGACCCACTTTGGAGAAGCAGAAGGATACAGAATCACAGTGTTCCACGATGCGGGCAGGGGGTACACGCAGAGCCACAGCTGCATTCATGACCCGTGCCCCATCCAGATGGACCCGTGCTCCATACGTGTGGGCCAGGAGGTGCACCTGTGGGCAAAGGGCAGGCGGAGGTCAGAGGGGCCAAGCAGAAGGAGGGCAGGTCTCCAGGAGGCCCTGGGCTTGGCGTCTTGAGGAGCCATGAGGGGTCTGGAGTCAGGAGCCTGGTGGCTCTGGGTATTTGGGTACCTGAGCAGTACCTGTGCTGCCCGAGCCTCAGTGCCATATGCTGTGGCAGGGGCCAGTGGCAAGGATTTTAATTCTCTTACGGGGTGGGTGTGTGGTGTTGGGGAGGAATCCAGGGCTTCAGGCATGCCAGGCAAGCACTCTACCAACTGAGCGGCACCCCCAGCCCAGCCTCAGCTCTTCTTTATGGAGCTCTCGTGAGGGCCAAACACTGAGGGTCTCAACTCCCAGCTGCACTGCAGCACCGTGAGGGGCCGCACCACACTGCTCTCAGCTAGAGCTAGGGGACACGGGAAGAGAGCAGCAGACCACAGACCTGGCCACCCCCTCATTCAGGCTGGGGTAAGCACCAGGTGGGAGCCTCACCAGGGGCACACTTTCATTCACTGATACGTGATGTTTCTGTCCCTAGAGAGACAAGGGGCCTGAAGCCATTTTCAGCCTAGGGCCAACATCTGTCCTCCCACGACAGGTTGCTGATGGGCACCTGGGGAATGTGTCAGGGGGACTCAGGCCTAGGACTGGGACTATGCAGGAAGCCAGAAGCAGGCTGGTGTTGGGTTGCTGTGGGGGGTCAGCCTACCTGGTGGAGGTAGTCAATGGGGAGGACCCGGCCCCCTGAGCTGCTATGAGTGTTCTCCAAGCACACGAGCTCGCAGATTGGGTGGTAGGGGCTCCCGAAGCCCCGAGTGAGTGCTCTCTCTAGCTCATCAAGGTCCAAGGTGCCATGGGGCAGGTCTGGGAGGGGATGGGAGTGCACTCCAGCAATCTGTGGGCAGGGGGACACAGGAGCAGGTGGGTCTGACTGTACCTCCCAGCAAGAAGATTCCCCTGGAGCAGGAGCTAACTCTGAAACTCAGGATCTTTCTCTTGTTCTGAGCATGTGTACACAGCGTCCCAGCGGGGGTGGGGGTGGGG